TTCATTTGGGCAATTTGAAACATTGCCTTATCACAGTCAGAGGCGACCATAGCTTTTGCAGCCTTTACCTCTTTGTTCTTCCGGTCAAGCGGCTTGCGAAGGCCGTTTACTCGGAGCAGGGCCTAAGTAAAAAGGGGAACAAGCGTCAGTTTCCAAACAAAAAAGAAAACAGGCGTCCTGGAATTCAAATACTCAAAAATATGCTAAGTATACCTCAGCAAGGATCCCTGCAATCCCGTCTAGGTCAAGGGTGCCGACACCCCTGACCGCCTCCCTTTCAGCTGGAGGAACGGCCTTGATCATAGACTTGGCCACCTCGACCAAGTCAGGCTCCTGAGGGCCGGCTGCATCAAGCATAAACAAACGGATTAGACCTAGTAAAGAAGGGAGCAAGTCTAAAATTTACAAGGACAATTTCATACTTCTAGGTGGCCCAGCTGGAGTTTTAGAAGAAGTGGTCGGCTGTTTCTCAGCGGCCGCATGTTTCCTGGCAGAACCAGGAGAGCTCGCAACAGTCGTCCTCCGGGCCTTGGGGTCCAGCTGTTGGGAAGAAGAAGCTCTTGGAGCACCCGTCTAAAAAAGAAGAAGTCAGTAAATGCATAAACACAACTCCAAAAAGAGGGTGAAAGGTTCGAAGCCCACCAAGGGTGCCCCCTTGTTGGGGGAGTCAGTTGAAGACTGTTTCATGATGGAGGCCCGCAACATGGCCGCTGCAGTCTTGGAGGCGGTAATTTTGCTCATAGCGTCCGCTGCAAAAACAAATAGCAAAGTTAATAAGTCATAACAAGAAATGCATGGAACAACAGAGTATTCGACAGGCCGGCTACCTCTTGAGCACCGACTGCTGAGGCCACAGGCGGCCAAAAAGTACTCGTCGTAGAGCCATTTGAAGCTCGGGACGCAGTGCAGGGGTACTTGCTCTCGTACCCCTGAAGTAGAGTTCACCTTCGACTCTACTTTGAAGAGTCCTTTATCTAGGATCTCTTTCTTAGCCTTGGGGGGAACAGGCGGCATGCTGCGGCCGCCTGCAAGAAGGGGCGAATTCTTGTTCCACCTATTGAAGCGCTTGTTCAGCTCTGTGTCTGAACTCTCAATGATGAGGAAGGTGCTCCGCCAGTCCTTCCATTTGTTTGCTTTACCTCTCGTCATGAGGTAGCCCCTGTGGCTCGTCAATTGATACCAGCCAGTACCGCCTGCCTTAGGGGTCCGGCTGAGGTAGTTCATGTGGGCGAAAGCCTCGAAGCTCGGCTCCACCCCGTGCAGTTCGCACCCGGCCACATAGCCGAGTACGTTGACCTAGGAGTTCGGGGCTAACTGCCATAACCCCAACTCATACCCATCCAAGATCCGCTGAACAGCCGGATGTAGTGGGAAGCGCAGCCCAGCCTTGATGGCCGCCTCGTAGCAGCCAAAGCAGGCGCTATCATAACTGGTACCAGCCGGCCAGACGACTGTGTCTTCTGGATCCGGCACAAACACTAAAAAGCCGGGGCCCATTGTGTGGTTAACGATAAAGCTCTCCACTTTCTCTTGCATGGCCGTGATCCGGCCCCGAGGTACCGTGCAGTAGTAGGGGGTATTTTGCTCTCGGTAAGAGGCGGATGGCTCCGCCCAATCGTCCCCCCTTCTCAACTGCGTGAGAAAGCCTCGCCTCTTGCAGGCGAATGTTTTTCTCTTCTGTGTCCAGAGAAGCATGGCCAGAAGAGCTAGACTCGGAATCGTCCTCTGACGAGTCCGAAGAGGACGACTCCTCCCCTCTCCCGGAGGGGCCCGCCTCCTCTCCTTTAAAAGGAGCAGGAGAGAATGTAGAATTGTCAACTATAAAATGGGAAGGGGTCACTTTGACTCCTCCCTCAGAACTGCCGGCTTTCAAGCCGCTTTGTTTCACTTCCACATCTGGCGCCTGGTCAGATGTTTCACTAATCGGCACCCTGTGGGAGGAGCCGTCTGAGTTTGAGATCCTGGCAGTCTTTTTTGTTCTGGCCATCATGCTCTGCATAGACACAGATACAGTCGGACTTTGTATAAAGGGGAAAGATGGGTCCGGAAAAGGGCAGGCGGCACTCCTAGTCCTAGATTCAGCCGTCCCCGGTGACCGGCTGATCACTAACCTAGGTCGTGTCGTGTGCTTCCGTGGTGCCATTTCAAAAAAGAATAAAATAAAGAGAAAATTAAGAGTAAGAGAACCGACGGTTACCTGAACGAGTGACGTTGATGGAGTTCTGAAAATCCTGTGCAGTCGGCTTGTCAGAACAGGCGGTAGGAAGAAAGGGTCCAAAATGTCAGAGCAAGTTCAGGGGTCCGAATGTTCTCTCAAAAAGTTCTCAAGTGTGAAAATGACTGAAGTCAACACTCCCTTATATAGGCGAAGTGAGAAGGCGAAGGGTCACTTCCAGAATTCATAATTTGGGCGGGAGAATCTCTCGGCCTTTCGCCGAGTGACACCTGTAGCAGGCCGTCGCCTGTTACAGTGCGACACCTGTCACAGGTAACACGTGACCAGTCACGTGCCACCTGTGAGGGGCAAATGATTAGGGGATTTTGCTCCCACCAATCACCATCTGACAAGTGGACCAATCAGGTTCCGCCATGTGTCCGCCACATGAGCCAATAGGAGCCTGCCACGTGTCAAGCAATGATCCGTCCACCTTGGACTAATTACGACACGACACGTGTCCTTCCCATAACACCTGGGATAACCGGTCACCTAGGCCCAACTTCCGAGGGAAGCCCAATCAGCCCAAGGTTAACCTAAACCTAGATTGGCACGTTTCCCGAGGTTATAAATACCTCCCTTAATCCTCATTAAGGGGGAAAAACAGGCTGATCACGCTAAAAAAGCAGATTACCTACATTAAACACTCTCACCTAGAGAGACTCAATCACTTTAATTTCCGCATTAATTACTCCTTAAACAAGTACTAACTTGATCGTTGGAGGCGGAGCTCCCACCACAAGGAGTCTCCGTTGTTTTGCAGGTACAGGCGTCCGGTTCCAGTCTCGGAATTGTAACTCTCCCGCAGGACATCAGAAAACCCCGAAACAGATGCCACTTTACTTTCTTTAACCTACGCCGTTTTCACAACCTACTTTATTTATTTTGATGAATTTTGTGTTTGGAGTATTGATTTTTGACGATAATTTCGTAGCTCTAATAATAACAATACAGGTTGATTTTTCCTCTTAAAACATAATTTCAATTGTGTAATTGATTATTGAATATGTGGGTTTTTCTGGGATGTGGTTGAATTTGAGTTTCTGCAAATTTGATTGACAGTTTTTTTAGTATGATTTGATATTTGAAATGGGCATTTTTCAATTTGAAAAGAGATAAATTCTTAAAAATAGATATGGGGTTTTTTAGCAGATTAAACGAGAGTCTTTTAGGAACAAAATTGGAGCTTAATTATAGAGAAAGTGGGGAATTTGGGAGGTAAAACAATGGAGAAGCAATCGCGTATGATCTGAGACGGGTTAAACTTTCGACATGTTGGTGAGAAACCTGAGAGTTCCGACAAACCTATGGAAAAAAATGGGATTTTTCAACACTGTATAACGGAGAAACAGGAGTTTCGTGGGTTGTTGGAGAAACAGAAGAGTTTTCATGGAGATGGACACGCAATCTACCTTCAATATTATAATTTGTTTGCTAGATAAATACTGTAATTTGGAAAGTGAATAAATTAATGTGCCATCATAATAAACTCATGTTTGTTAAGAAGAGCAAAACCTTTTAATAATGTTATGTGAACTCAATGGGGTTGGATTTCCACTCAAGTCGTTGGATCCAAATTACTCCATCCATAACATTTTTTTTATTTTTTTTTTATTGTACTTGGTATGTAATACTTCGTATATGTATAACTAATGGTGGCAGTAAAAATCAAACGATGTATATAAAAAATGATAAGATGTGTACTATAGAATTATGATAAATATAATTACGCATGTAGTGCTACTATCATGATATCGCGGCATATGCCCTGCTCGAGTGTTTGGACAGTGACTTTTGTGTCAATATCTTAATATGGACTCGAATTGGTTATAATTTGTTATGTATCAATATTAAATTCTTCATAAACGGATTGAAAGATGTTGATCAAGATAAAAACATTGATTAAAAAAAGTGAAGATTTCAAGGTTTTTGATAGTTTTCATTATTGGTTATGGATGATTAGAACACAAGCACATCATAAAGAAACTCAATTAGAACACAATCATAGAATTTTATCCCTGTTACTAATCTTATAATACATTTATAAAAAAAAAATGAATTTTCTATTTAAAAACAAAAAGGTTCTTCATATTTTTTTTCTTTCTGTTGCCACCTAATTTTTTTTTTTTTTTTGTAAAATAAAAAACAATACTGAATAAATATTGCATATTATTTCTTCCAAACACCTATTTTTTTTTTTTTTTTTGTAAAAAAAATATACAGAATAATTATTGCATATTATTTCATCCAAAAAATCCAAATTTCTCTTTGATAATCAATAGTTTTTACAGTGCAATCAATTTTGACGTAAATTGCAATTGATATCTTTTTCAAAAAAAAAAGTCATTTTCTCTATTTTGTCACCTAAATTTTTTTGGTAAAAAAAAACACACACACACATAGAATATATATTGCAATTTTTTTTTTCTTCCAAAAAAAATATCATTTCCTCTTTTATGCCACCTTAATTTTTTATCATTTTTTTTTATAAATACAAAATAACTTATATGAACAACCTTTTTTATACAAGTCTATAATAACATTTATCATTAATTGAGGATTAGCAATAACAATGTTGATCCCTTGACCACGATTCTACTACTATTTCATACCTGTAAGGTAGAATTCAATAATAGGTTTGACCATTTTTTAAATGAAATGGAATTGAAGTTAATTAGAGTTAGACATGATTCATTATTAATATATATTTTTTGATGTAAGTAGAAATGGAGTTGGTATTGGAGATTGTTCATTAATTTAAATTATTGTTCCATTTTTTTTACAGTATATAAAACACTCCGTTGACTGCGTTTCACCTTTAGCTTAAATTTCTACACCCTACAGGTATGAACAATTTATTTTACTTTAATTTTGTTAATATGAATGAGCATGTATATTTAGGTAAATTTAGGATTTTATCTACTCATAGAGGGACATGCTATTAATTTGCCACTACACTACATTACATACATATAATACCTCTATTAGGATTATAACATTGTAAATTGTTACAACTTACCTCTATTAATTGATGTTGTTCAAACTATAATATCGATTCTTATATATTTATCTCTTGATTATTGTATATATAATAGATAAGAATGGACATACATACAAGTAATTATCGATTTAGAGAGAATTTGCAACACAAACATGCTAGATTAGCTGTTAGGCGAAGGTTACTATTCAAACGCACTACAAACCATGAAGATCCTATTTTTAAGCAACGTCGTTACTTATTGGAGAAAGAAGCACGATCCTTGCGACTATTAATGATGCAATTACGTCGATCAACACATCAATATCACGATGTGACACGTGAAGTGGAGCAATTTCCTAATGAGATCAATATGAATGGTACTTAATTATAAGAACCATTAATATTTACTTTATAATACTAATACTTTACATAAAGGATTCTATTAAATTATTAAAACCTTTCATTCCAAAAAGCTCACCTAATGATTGGATGCAATTACGTCGATCAACACATCAATATCACGACGTGACACGTGAAGTGGAGCAATTTCCTAATGAGATCAATATAAATGGTACTTATAAGAACCATTAATATTTACTTTATAATACTAATACCTTGCATTAAGGATTCTATTAAATTATTAAAAACTTTCATTCCAGAAAGCTCACCTAATGAGGGGATAGACAATGATGCTAGACCTGATGAGCATATTGTCGAAAGGAGAGGTAACCACTTTGCCAAGCTACTTAACCACACACCTAATTGATGTCGACATTGTTAATTGACATTCACTAAAATAAATCCTTTGCATGCAGAAGTGACTCATCAATGATGATCTGCACACAGTCCTCGAACGACCGAGATTGCAACAAACCATGTTAACTATGTGGTTTCAAGCTAACAAGGATTTTCCAGAAGCAAATCAATACACTTACCAAAATTTTCCTATGGGATTCACATGGAATCGCTCTACAAAAAGGTGGGCACAACGGCAAGAAAGACCTTGCATTGGTAGGTTGCCTTTTGTTCATCCAAATTCTGGGGAACGATATTACTTACGGATGCTTTTAACTAAGGTTTGTGGAGCGGAATCTTTTGAAGATATACGAACTGTTGATGGTGTCATCCACCCTACCTTTAGATCTGCATGTCATGCCTTTGGGTTGTTTGATGACGATAATGAGTGGCATGAAACTCTTTCAGAAGCCTCTAACTGGGCATCGGGTTCACAGTTGAGAAACATGTTTTGCTCCTTATTAATGTTTTCAGAAGTAAGTGATCCGAAACAGTTGTGGGAACAACATTGGGGTGAACTTACGGATGACCTAGAGAGAATGATGCAACGTCAAACTAGAAACCCTAACTTACGATTAACTCCCGAAGAGATGCAGAATCAAGGATTACAAGAGATTGAGCATATATTGAATAAACTTGGAAGGTCATTGACAGATTTCCCTGACATGCCACAACCTTCTTCAGAGTTAGCACGCAATGCCTTAAATCGGTTGATAAGAGATGAACTTGACTATGACACACATGATGAAGCTAACAGATTTGATACCTTAGTTAGAGGGTTAAACACGGATCAATATAGAGTATATGCTGCAATACTTGATGCTCATTCTCGAGATGCAGGTGGCCTATTTTTTGTCTACGACAGTGGTGGGACAGGAAAGACATACCTATGGAACACTCTGATTGCGAAATTCAGATCTGAAAGAAAGATCGTGCTCTCTGTGGCTTCTTCGAGAATTGCTGCTTTATTATTGCCTGGTGGTAAAACCGCACATTTGACTTTCAAGATTCCTTTTGATCCTGATCAACATTCCGTTTGTAACTTCAAAAAAGACTCAACCCATGCTGATTTGATCCGTGAAGCATCATTGATTATATGGGATGAGGCTCCAATGACCCATCGATTAGCATTTGAGGCAGTAGATCGACATTTTAAGGATATTTGTAGTGACAATAGAGTTTTCGGAGGTAAATTGGTTATTCTTGGTGGAGACTTTAGACAAATACTTCCCGTGGTGCCAGATGAAGGACGAGAATCTATTGTTGCAGCTACCTTGCATCGAGCGTCCTTTTGGAGAGACTGCGAAGTTATGTGCCTATGGATAAACATGTGTTTATGTCGAAGTGACGTTCCCTCCGATACCCTTGAACAAATTCGAGAATTTGTTGATTTGATAATAAAAGTTGGAGAAGAAGTTATAGCAGGAGTGCCCATTACAGAGGAAGGTGAACCAAATTGGATTGAAATACCACGTGATTTTTTGATAGCCAATGATGAACATGGTTTGCAAAATCTCATTAACTTTGTCTACCCCAACTTGCCTTCAAATTATACGGATTGGGAGTACCTCAAGGATCGCGGAATTCTAGCACCAACAAACAATGATGTAGATGAGTTAAATTCGAAAATTTTATCAATGCTACCAGGAAACGTGCATAGGTACTATAGTTCGGATACTTTGGGTCATACAGGAGATGGTGGGATCCTTGATAACATGGAGCCTATGGAATTATTAAACTCAATAAATTTGTCGGGTCTTCCAAATCATTGCTTAGAGCTGAAAGTTGGTGCCCCGGTAATATTGATGCGAAATATGAACCAATCCATAGGGTTGTGCAATGGAACACGCCTTACAATCAAGAAATTGGGTTACAGAGTGATTGAGGCAAAAGTGATCACAGGTCCTAGAGCTACATAATCTGTTCTAATTCCGCAAATTGATTGAACACCTTCCAACAAGAAGATAGATCTCCCTCTTAAAAGAAGGCAATTTCCATTAAAATTAGCCTTTGCCATGACAATAAATAAGAGCCAAGGACAGACGTTGAGCAAAGTTGGCATTTTTCTCCCTATGCCCGTGTTTAGTCATGGCCAATTATATGTTGCAATGTCACGAGTTACATCTCCTTTCGGGCTAAAAATCTTAGTACAAAATAAGAAGGATGTTTCTCACAGTTTGACTAAAAATATTGTGTATAAGGAAGTATTAAACAGTGTCAATTAGCTATGTATGTAGTTTTTTATAACATTTATTTAGTAACTCTTAGCAATGTTTGTTTTAGTGTAATTTCAGAGATATACTATTTTTATAATATATTAGATTTTCTTTGTCATGTTAATGCTTCTATTTTACTTTATTTAAGAATTATTTCATTATCTATACTATTTATGTAACCTTTATACATGTGCGAGGTTGGATCAATAATGAAATATTATGTAAATTATTTTTGTATGCCCACTTCAATGATGTTAAAATGCAGGAAATGTACACAAGATACACACCATGTCGTTGTATTACCCTTACGACATTGAATGTGAATATTAGAGTGTGTTTATTATGGATGGTCAATGAACAAAGTAGAGCTAGAAGTACAAATTACGTCCATCGTTCGTGGAGTATGGTATTCATTGACTCAAAGGTTTGAACTATATTTTTACTTAGTGCTTACTTTTTTTTTCAATATATTCATTTATTTGACACTTATGAATGTATGAAAATTTCAATTTCTAGGGGGACGAAGTTCAAATCACACTATTTAATGCTGACATTGATAAATATAAAGAGATCTTCAAACAAGGAAAGGTTTATTCAATTGCTCAGCTAGATCTTATGCCTCTAGATACATCTTACAAATATTCCAATAACCAAATGAGGTTGAAATTTGGCAACAAGACCATGATAACATAAATTCTTGATGATTGTGATGATATCCCAAGGTACAATTTCAGGTTTATTGAATTTTGCCACATTCCACAGTACCTTCACCTGTGCAATAGTCCTCTCATCGGTATGTGTCTTTTAATAATTAAAATAAATAATACTAATATTTATTGCATTTTTAAAATTATTTTTTGAGTTTTGAAGGTCATATCCGATCTTTTTTCTTGATGATGAATGTACACAGATGTTATTGGATTGGTTATATATGTGTCTGAATCATATAGAGTCTCGGGTGGGTGACAACAATTCAAAAGAGATGTGTTACTCTGCAACACAAAGTAAGAGCATATTACAAAAGTTACAATATGTTTATGTAATCATAACAACTTATGCAATGTTAAGTTTTTTTTTTCTTTTTCTTTAAAAAAATAAAATCTATTGACATATTTTGATTTACAGCATGGAAACAATGAGGCTAACTTTATGGGAAGGGTTTGCTCATGATCAAGGTCGTTTCTTATTCAATGAGCTTAATCAGGATCATGTGTTGGGTGCATCCATGGTATTAGTTGGCTCCTATTATGGTAAAATAAGTTTTTAAAAATTAGATAACCATGGAAAGACTATGGTGTCATTTTCATTATTATCATTGCTTTGAATACTTTTACTAACCTTCCAATAGGTGCATGTCTTTCAACTGTTGGACGTACCAGACTTTTTATTGATCCTGATATTGATGAAACTGATGATCTACATGGCTGGTAAGCCTAAATACATCATAATATACAATGTAAGTTTATATTGCATACTAATGTACTTATATAAGTCATATAGGTATGCGGATGATGGATATGTCAAAAAACATATCAGCTGGAGTCAGATATTAGCTAATAGTATCTCTGAAATGGAAATGGTGTTTAATGCAAAAAGGATCAAGTTAAATCAGTTTTCAGCGGCTCATAATGTATGTATATCAACAATTATTGATTTCATTTTCTTATACATGAGGTATTTAATATTTGATGTGTGTTTTCACGTAAAGTACTTTCGAGTACTAGTAAAGGTGTTATCTATTGATTCTTCTATGTCTATTTGGTATGAATCATGTGCTCGACACTTAAGGAGAGCTGATATGTGCGTGGAGTGTGACCCCTCTTTTAGTAGGCCAAGGTATTTTCACTTTTTTAATTTTATTTTAAAAAAATATAATTATAACCTGCTTTACATATCACTATACCTAATTATATCATATCAATAATAACAGATATAGAATCAATATAAAAATTGGTGACGCTACAAATACAATGTCTGTTACACTCTTTGGCCAATATGCTGAGATGATTATCGGTTGTCCAATATCAAGTATTCAAGCGATGACAGATAATGTAAGTATATCCTTTAATCATATATATTAAGGAATTACTCACCGGCATAATGGATACATTTGTTATTTATGAACAGGAATTTGGAGACTACTTTCTAGAGGAGTATCTGAGTGAACGATTGATGAATACATTCACTTTCATACTACATGTTCCTGAGATAGGAAATGATGATATCATAGTTGCATCTGTTTTACAAGTAAGATGGGAGGAAGAATTCTATTATCTGAAACGAGAGATGCGTGGACAATCTAATTGAAGACTTAGATTCATTTAGCATAATATTTCAAGACTTTAATTATATATATATATTTTTTTTTATATGAATTCAACACTTGGGTTTTTTTTTTTTTTTTTTTTTTTTTTTTTTTTTTTTTAAATTTGTAATCAATTTGTTTTTTTTTTGGGTTTTTGTTGTTATTATTTTGGTTTTATTAAATACCATTTGTATCTATATACTTTTTATTTTTTAATCCTATCCTTAATTATAACCCGTGCATTAGCACGAGCACATTCTAGTTTATATTTAATTTAACTTTCACAAAATAACTACCCATCCCACTTTTTTTTTTTTTTTTGTGTATTTTTTTTTTTCATGGGACTGTTAAAATAACATTTCTTTTTGTTCAAACCACTACTAACATTTTTTTTTTGTGTGTTACTTTTTTTTTTGTACTTAGTATAAAATAGGCCATGAATTAGCACGGGTATACAGTTTCTTTATCAACAATTCACCATAACACTCAAAATCCTCATCCTTCATTTATATGCATTTTTGTAAGGACACCTTCCAAACAACTTCAACTTTTCTAATCATCAAAACAAAAAAAATAAAAAATAAATGTACATACATCACGCTTTTTGCGTGACTGACACCGAATAACTGTTTGCGAAGAACAAAGTAACTCGTAAAGCATTGATGGAATAACCCCTATGACGTTAACCGAGTAATTCTTTTGAGCTTTACAGCAGAGCAAAGAACACCAATAGGGGTGTTTGCGGTGCAGTTGGGTGTGGTGCATCGGTTTGTGGTTTAACCATATTATTTAAATTATAATTATTTTTTTTAAAAAAAACTTTAATTCCAATTTGTCATTAATAATTTAATATTAAATTTTTTTAAGCATTAATTAGCTAATAGTCAAGGATTAGATCATATATTTTAGTTCTCTTATAAATTTTTTAATAGAAATATAGTATAAAAAATGTATTTATAATTTTTTTAAATAGAAATATAGTATAAAAGTGCGATTTGGTCAAAATTTTAGGAAAGCGCACCAAACCACAAACCGTAATTTGGTCATTTTCAAATAGCGCACCACAATTTTCAAACCGCAAACCGTACTCTGTACAACCCTAAACATCATATTTCAGCAGCGCAGAGCAGGGTAAAGAAGGTAGAACAAGTGTCAACAAATTATTAATACTCAGTAGAGTACAGCTAAACAGGGTTCAGCAGAGCAAACTAGACCACAAGTCCATAACAGCTCAACTCAAAATAATAGTGTTTAAATTACAACATCAATATCAACTTTCCGTATTTAAATATATATATATTTTTTTATATTATATATTCAATATCAATAAAATCCCGTGCTTTTTGCACGGATATACTCTAGAATAATCTAACCAAATGCATGAGAATTTAGTATTAGGGTATGGTATGTTCCTAGAAGGCTAGAATCCCGAAGCTAAAACCAACCCCCCCCCCCCCCCCCCCCCCCCCCCCCCCCCCCCCACCCGAAGAAAAAAGAAGTTGTACCACCCCCAAACCTTTGGTTGCGCCAAATCACTGACGTTGGTGTTAAGAATTAGGGTTTAGTGGCAGTTCATGTTCTTCCCTTTTCCCTCTCTAATCTCTCTCTTATATGTAAACAAGTATAGAGGATTATTTTGGAATTTCGCGTTGTTGATCGTTCGTTTGAGCTCTGGTTTTTCTGTAATTGCAGAACCATGGAGTCTTGGGGATTGAAAACTTGTGATGCTCAAGAACAACGAGGTACGTAATTTTTGTCAATTTAGGGTTACAGTTTCAAACTTTTTGGCACATCTATACTTGTTCTGCTGTTCAAACTCACTTTATTCATTTACCATGTTTTATATTCATATAATATAATATACGCATACATTGGCATTGCATGCTATTTTGGATTTTATTAATTCGCCTTTATCATTAATTATACCCTACACTATAATTTACTATTTTTTTTTTTTTTAATATATATTTGTTGTTTGGAATATAATATGGCTCTATCGTGATGGACATGGAGGTTATCTTGTGTATTTAAATTTATTTTTTGGTTTTTGTTTTATATATATATTTGTTGTTTCGTATATATTACTTGTATGTCTCTGCATCAATCAACCGTGGAATGTTTGTCCTGTATGTTTTTGAAGTATATAATTCTATCTTGCAGAGAAGACATTGGATACTGTGTCGTACTTGGGCTCTAGTTCCGAGTTTGATTCAGACTTAGATGTCCAAGAAAATTCAGGGTCAGATTTGGGTTCGAGTTCTGATTTGGAGTTAGAATTATATTCTGATCACGAGTCAGATGATAATGTGAAGAAATCAAGGGCAATTGACAAGGAACAAGCTAGGCAAGAGTGGGAAGCATGCCAAGATTTGCTGCTCAACATCCAAGAAGAATCTGATGGATTTATACTCCCAACAGAAGAGGTATTTTTGTGTGTTTTACTTTCTTCCTGTTTTGCTTAAGTGCAATGTATGAGATGTATAACAAACTGTCTTTCTTTTAATATTTTAGGAGCTTGAACAAGAGGCTAATCAACCTCCTGATCTTCCAAGCCTTCAAAGGAGGATAAAAGAAAGTATGTTAAGCAAGACTATTATCATGTATTGATGCAATATTTGACTAGTATTTTACTCGTATCTTCTATTTATTATTCCGTGTTATTGAAAAATGGTCATTTGTCCTCTAGTTTTTTTATGCAAGTATTATTCTTTGTTTACATTTAATAAATTCAGGTTTTATATTTTGTATCAAGCCGTTTATGCCTAATATCTTTTTCAATGGTGCTAGTTGTGAGGGTGCTTTCAAACTTTAAGGATTTGAGACCAAAACAAGGGGCAAGGAATAATTACATTGATCAGCTGAAGACGGACTTGTCCTTATACTATGGCTATAATGAGTTCCTTATAGGGATGTTGGTGGAGGTGCATTTATATGACTTATTTTATGCAATGGAGTTACTGCTTTGTAAATTTAGAATTTATGCTGTATGTTGCTTAATTTTGTCATTGTTCTTGAGCAGATGTTTCCAGTTGATGATCTATTTAGCCTTATAGAAGCCTTTGAAAAGCCTCGCCCTATTTGCATAAGAACAAACACCCTGAAGGTGTGATCGTGATTTGGATGTTCATTTGTTCTTATCCCTCTCTGTCAACTGTCTAATAAAGTGCTCATATGATGTAATGCATTTGTCCCTTTTGGATGTAGACACGTAAACGAGACCTGGCTGATGTTCTTTTAAATAGAGGAATGAACATAGAACCTGTTAACAAGTGGTCTAAGGTAAAGTTGGCATTCATGTTTCGTGGGAAATGATTTGATGGTTTTGTAGCTCACTTTTTTAAAGTTATATTGATGTTTGTCTCTCATTTATAGGTTGGGTTGGTTGTGTATGACTCACAAGTGCCAGTTGGTGCCACTCCTGAATATATGGCTGGTCACTACATGGTAACTTATGAACTTATTATGTGCATTATGTGTGTTTTTTTGTTAAAATTTATATGCCTAAGCAACTGGTATCTGCTTTCCTGCAGCTTCAAAGTGCAGCTTCTTTTTTGCCTGTGGTGGCCTTAGCTCCACAAGAGAAAGAGAAAGTTGTGGATATGGCGTAAGTAGTCATTAGCGCTACATCTTTTACATGGAAAGTCATTATTAAGTCTTTCCCTTTCTTTGCCCCCACTCCTTTTTGTGTATGAGAGTTCTGTCATCTGTGTATGAGTGCAGTTCATACGCTGGCCGGGCTGGGTCAGTTGTTAGTTCTCCTTAGTAGTGGACCAAATCGGTATAAATTTGATGATGCTAAAAGTGATACTGAAACCATTCATCCCTAATGTGATGTGTTACTGTAGGGCTGCTCCTGGCGGGAAGTCCACTTATATTGCAGCTCTCATGAAAAATACTGGTATGGTTGTATATCTTTTCTCACTAATGTGGTTTCAACTTATCTTATTTATGTTAGATTGCTTAATACATTTTCTCCCAAGTCTATAGAGGAGTTTTAACCTTAATAATATTAGACTTCCCATATTGCCCATACTACATTTGATAACTACTAACATACTAAACTACCCATAATACCCTCCCCTAAATCAGTTCATTACAGCATGTAGTCTGGTACATCAACAAAATCAAAATATAATTAAATCCAAAGTACTCTCTTTAAAAAATTCACTTATCAGTGATTGATTAAATATTTAAATCTAATTGTTATGATGGAAACATTACACAAGATGTTGCCACATGTTGACTGTTGAGGACTTGAAGTAATAAAGAAATTTAAAAGTGTCTTTTTCTTATAATCTTCAGATGGTGTGTAATATAATTATAAAAGTTATGATAAATGCAAACAAGATGAAAGAATAACGTGATAAGGCTAAGCAATTATGATTGGAGATTGAATTCCTGTGATGTTATGTGAGAAAAAACATGTATAAGTAACCTGGATTTGCATTCCAAGAGTAAAATAGATCTTTTATATACTCCATAATATTTAGAAAACCAAGCTCGGGACTAGTTTAGTAAGCAAACAAGCTATTAGCAATTCTGATTTGGATCTTAAATATTTATTTATTTGTCAATCCAGGCAGCTACTACATAATTGTTTAGTCATATACACAATAATACAATATGTGGAATGAAAATCAATAACTATATGGAGACTTTAATTTTTGCTTTGGTCAACTCCATTGTAATGAGTTATAAACATGTGGATTTGTTAATTTCTAAATGTATCAATAGAATTTATGGTCCTTGGCTTAAATGATTTTTTTTTTTTTTTTTTTTTTTTTTTTTTTTTTTTTTTTTTGAGAAAGTTTGGCTTAAATGATTGTTAAAGACTATCAATTACTAATTTTGCTTTGACCTTTCTAACCTGGATTTCTTGCATTTAGCTACCACAAGTGCTAGGAAGGAATTCATGTGATAGAGTGCTATTGGATGCACCTTGCAGTGGTACTGGGGTAAGTAAAGCTTACTTGCATTGTTGCTCATAGGTCTTAGTGGTAATTATTTGCTTTGTTTTTCGAAAACATCTTATCGTTTTAGAAAGGGAAATAAAGAACTTTTAACAAGTTAAGAGATAATATATCCATTAGATGACATATTCGAAGGATAAATATTCTTCCTAATTTGCTCACCAAAGGGCAGAGCTCTAGCTAAGTGACGAGGCACTTCATTTTCTTCTCTCTTCACCTGAGAGGAAGTGATAAAATTAAAATGATTGCCAAGCACAATAACACCTTCAAGGATTGTAAAATAATCCAAAATCCGTGTATTTGGATGCCTTGGACCATTTTCTAAATATCACTTTGCTATTTGGCTTCGTGATGATGCTTCTTAGTCCATACTTCTTTCCAAGTTGAGCTGCCATTGCTATGCTTTTGCTATAGCTATATTAGGTGCCCACCAAGCTTTTTGTCGCCCAACAGCAACAAATATATAGAACACTTATTCCTTAAATCTCCCACCACCACTCCCACCAGGCCACCAACCCAACCCTTCAACATTAGAGCTGTGTCCACATTCAACTTAATCACCCTTCATGACGGAGTAGGCCAGATGTTCTATAAATGGAAAATTGGAAATAGAAAAATGGTAAAACACAATAGAAAAATGTTTTGCTGGAAAAACACCCACCCTCTCTAATGTATTTGTATCAATACAATGTACTGAATCAGTGGCTTAGGCTTGTTCCTATAACCCTTGCTAGCTACTCTTTATAATTTTGTATTGTGTGCATGCTCGTTCAATTACATTGTGTACACCTATCTCCCCGGACCCTGGTTGGTTTTGTTTCCTATACCCCTTTAATATTTTCTCCTGTCTGGGGCTCTTTACTGGCACATGTTTGTTTGACAACTACCAATCTATATATAGGCCATACATCGACACACAGAATGATTTAAGACTCATACATTTATTTTTATTTAAATCAATAGTAATCTATGTCTCTATTTGAGGAGCGGAAGGTTTGCCAATCTTTGGTCTTGAAATAAAATGGACGAATTCAAAATGTCATAATTTTCTTTTGATTTTCTGATATCAATATATGGTTTTCCTTGTCCATCTAGGTGATATCCAAAGATGAGTCTGTTAAATCTACCAAAAGCTTTGAAGAAATCCAGAAGTGTGCACATTTGCAGAAGGTTTGTAACTGTGATTTGTCTTTAAAGAAAGAATTTCTGTATGCCAGATAGAGTATGATAATCTTAAATTTTAAAAAAAATTAGCACCTTCATAAAAATGTCATTGCATATAATAATAATAAAAGCAAATGAAATGGTTTAGAAATAGGGCTAAATGCATCTTTAAGCATCTTTTGCTATATTCATTTGGGGGTGGTGTTTTTTTGCTACGAGTTCTGTTACTCTGTATGGCATTAAGGAAGAATTAAATGTTCTTTTTCTTTTTTTTTTTTTTTTTTAACACTAATGTGCTCAACGGTGGCTGCAGCAACTTCTACTGGCTGCTATTGATTTGGTTGATGCAAATTCCAAAACTGGAGGATTTGTTGTGTATTCAACATGCTCTATCATGGTTATGGAGGTTTGTAACAGAGACAAGTGTCCCCCCAACCCACCCACCATCATAAAATTCAGAAAAACGAAAGTACTTTGACTAGCACTATACTAATTATAGAATTGTGCAGAACGAAGCAGTTATTGACTATGCCTTGAAGCGCAGGAATGTAAAGCTAGTTCCGTGTGGAATTGATTTTGGCCGTAAATGTGAAGGGTAATGTGAATTTTTGAACTAGAGGGAGTTACATATAGGGTTTGGTTAGGTTTATTTTTATATATATATACCCAAACGCTCTCTTCCTTCCTTTCTGCAGATATGCTCGCTTTAGACAGTACCGGTTTCATCCATCGTTGAAATTGACAAGGCGCTTCTACCCAAACGTTCACCAATTGGATGGCTTTTTTGTGGCCAAGGTAGACCTTCCTTTTAAACATAGTTTAAGCTAACCACAAATGTTTAGTTTTCCTTCACTGTCATTAACTTTTCCTCCAAAAGTTATAGTTGAGACCCTAAAAATTTTTGCACTTTGATAAAGCTAGTAAAGACCTTATTGTAGTTGCTGATGGCAAACATGTGCTAAATGCATCTTCATTTTACTTAATGTAATGTGGATGTGTGATGTTGAATTGTGGCTTCACTTCTTTGATAATGTTTCACATTATGCAGCTCAAGAAAATTAACAACACGCAGCCTAGACAAAGCTCCTTTGAGGTGCCTGAAAATGTAGAGCAGGATGCCGTTTACTATGACACTGAGGAAACTGTTGAAAAGAAAACAAAGAAACGCAAGAGGATTAATGATAAGGCACAAGAAAAGCAGCCCCCAAAGAACAGAAAACTACATATTAGCCTTGTGGAAAATGGGATTGAAGAATCTCTATCAACTCCCACCCCAAAGAAGTAAAAGAGCCTGTTTTCGAGGAGATTAACAAGGATGCATCTTCTGAAAGAATTTCAAGAGGAAGGTGAACTCCTATAAAGCAGTTTCAATATATGCGTTCGTTTTTTTATAGGACATTATAACGAACTTACTGGAAGTTTGATTGATTTTCTTATGCAAATGTCCAGCCAATATATTCACAAACGAAGTTAGTGTAAGCTGATGGGGTGTTTTGTGTATGGGTCTGTGTACCTGTATTCATGTATGATTTATTTATTGATGATTGGGCTCTGATTTATTCCTTACTATGATAATGTGTCATATTAAACATGGTAGTTCAAGTTCAGGGGATGATATGCTGATGCACAGTATAGTAACACATGCTAATGCGACTTTATTTTGCTTATTTATCTTTGTATGGTATAATTGCTAATTGCCAGGTCATTGGTGATTAATTTCTTTTGCTTATTTATCTTTGTATGGTATATTTTTTTGAAGTTTGTCTTACGTTTTTGCTTCTATTTTTCTTTTGTTTTTTCCCCTCTTTACACAAGAATCGTTTGAAACCTAGTGATTTTCTTAGTCGAATCATGCGTACAACGTGTCTGAACTCAGAATGCAATTGCAGAAAGTGTAGTTTGATCACGTTGCATTTGGGAAACCAATAAATTGTTTACTTATTTGCTTCAAACTTGTGAGGCCCTCAAATGACAACTCACTAGTATGTGAAAGAGAACATGTTATTACACGAGTTGTATGTATTTCAGTGTCAATCTCTACTCATATGTAATTTAAATTTGTCTTTAGGGTGAAAAAGGGCAATCAGGGCAAATTGATGGATGATTTCTGTATCATGAAGCAACGATTTGTGGAGGGCTTTTGTTCAAGGAACTACTGTTTGAAGAATCCTTTGCGCCGGAGTTATGAAGTTATGTGTGCTGATTTATTATAAACTTATTAAGTTATTTCATAGAAGGAACTTGTTAGATTGTCTTATAAAGATCAGTCAATCTTAATTATTATTATTTTTTTTCAATTATTCACATTAAAAATGTTCTGATTATTACAATATCAACTCTAGAAATAGCAAAGTAGTAGAGGAGTATGATGTTGGACAGGGAGCTTCAGGAATATGGCAAGTCCATCTAGCATATGATCATCACTTATAACAAAGAAAGCTACTTGACCATCAAAGCCAATAATCAATTATGTTATTAATATGTATAAAAAATTATACTTGTATATAAATGCAATTCACAAGGTTTATTTTTTTTAAAAAAAGAAGAAAAAATTCAAAGCATAACCCAATTTTAATGACAATTTCAGTTTTGAAAAGTCTTTAACAAAATTTATTGATTACACATCTCCAACAGTAGCAACCTAGTTGGGGCAATGCCCGGGCTTTTGTTTGGATTCTCCTTATCACATCATTATTTGCTATTACTTTAAAAAAAATACTTAGGGCTGAGGGAAAGAACAGATTTTTGTAAAAAAAAAATGAAGTACTCAAACGTTCAGATAACAAAAATAAATCTGTATTTTCCACAAAAATTGTATACATGAATAAGCAGACTTGACATATAATGAAGAATGTAATGGATTGAATGAAGAAACCTTTTACTAATTACTAGTTTTGGCCTCGTGCAATGCACGAATTTATAAAGCAAGATTTATTAATAATAAATAAAACAGTCAATTGAAATAGAGTTAATTGAATTAATTTGATTTATGTAACACTTTTTTTTTAAAATTTGAATTTATTAATGTCTATCCTTTAATTCTTATGTGTTACATATATATATAAATATAATTTATTAAAATAATTTTAAGTTTTTTTAATATTATCTATTTTTTTTAAAAAAAGCATTTTGGAGGGAAATTGTTTCACTAAATTATGCCAAGTGTCCTATTTGGTGATTACTTTAGTATATAATATAGATAGACAGATAGATTATACATGTAAATAATTTTCTCTAATATGTAAAAAAAAACCTCTAAGCTGTTGACAAAAGAATTTGTCATACATTGATGAATTGTTTTTTTTTTTTTTTTTTTTTTTTTTAGCAAGGCGACGGAAAAAAATTTATAATGCCCGAACTTTTAGGTTGTGTAAGCGTATAATGAGGCTTAGTTAGTCTTGTTTGGACATGAATTTCTTCTAAATGTTCTTCAAATATTTTGTAAGTTTAATTACAAACTAATATTATTTTGAGATATTGTAGTCGTAGCCTTTGCCCTGATATTATTTTTCTTTCAGAAACCAGTGACGGATCCAGGATTTTGTGGATGCTGGGTCACCGACTCACTGCCACCAATTGACCGCATACAAATCAATAATTAATGCATATATATATTCTAAAATTAAAGTTAATTAAAAATAAATCACTCCAAAAGTATCAAATATTTTGTGGGAGAGGAGTAAGATTTGTGACGGATTATAACAAATCACCGATAAAATTACCAAAAATATTTAAAACGATGAGCTTCAACAAGTTATCTAATGAGAAGTACGAAGGTAAGATATGAGGGATGAAGTTAATAAATAAAAAATAAGTTTCAACAAGTTAACTAGTGAGAACTAAGAATATGTGTTCAAAAATATATATTGCATATATAATATTTGCATTTTAATGAGGATTTGAGCCTTTGAGGGATGAAGTTCATTAATAAATCTATAACTATTAAAAGTGAGAAGTTGGCAAGTTGAAATCCTCCTTAGTAATAGTGTGATGACAATTTTGCCCTTCAAAATGTTCAAATACCATTTTGCCCTTACTTGCTGCTGGTGATCTGTTGGCTGTTTCTCTCAGCCAAGATGCTTAGGTGGTGATATGCTAACCGTTGATTACTTTATTTGCTGACTTGGTGTTCTTGGTTGTGGACAGGTGGCGGTTGGATTCCATAGTTGTTGCTAACTTGGTTGCTTATGGTGACTTCCATATACAGAGGAATAAAAATGTATTAGGATTAGGAGTGTTTATGGTGTTGTATTTTATTTAACATGGGATTATTTTATTGTACTATTTAGCAGTGTATTTAGGTGTAAATATGTATTGTGTTACATTGGAGTTTAGTTTAGCATATGGTGTTAAAATTCAAAGGGATTTAATTTAGATTGATATGTTTGGTTTGTTTAGATTCAAGGCTGATATTGTTTACTTTGGATTAGTTTGTTTGGTTTATGGTGATTGTCTTGCAGATTGTGCTAATAAATTAATGCTTATGATTAGTGCATATATAATATGCTGATTTAGGTAGATTGTTCGATATTTTAAGGAATTGGCAGGTACAAATACTACTATGAGCTTATTTGTTGTTTAATTTAATTAATTGTTTTGGTTTGGGGTGATATGAATTGGACACTGTGCTTAATTTAAAGCTGCATTTGTGTTTGTAATTAGTGAGCACTTCGGTTTTTGGCTAAATTTAAAGCTGCATTTGTGTCAAGTTTATGTGGTAGAGGATTAAGCTTAATTGAGGTTTAAAGTGATTGGTTGCTGCTGTTTTGGACGGTGCTGCTATGCTCAGATTATGTTCAGGCGTGCTAGCAGTTACCAATGCCTTTTGTATTGCTTTTTAAGGTTTATTGTCTTGGGTTTGACATTCAAATCCTGGGGATGTGATTTGGCCGGTTTAACCTGCTGGAGTCAGCTTAAAATCCGGCGGTTGCTTGCTTTGGCCATTGGTTCTGTGGGTGTTTTTGTATTCGTAATGATAAACATATATTATCCCTTTATTTTTATTGTAGTTACTAGAGAGCTTTTGGTGTGTAGAGCCTTTTAGTTTTTTTCTTTTTTGATAATTTTGAAATCCAAAAATAAAAATAAGAGGACAAAAATATTTGGGTTTATAAATAAGGGGTGCATATAGTGATTCAGGGTAGGAAGAGAGGAAGCAAGGAGCAATTTAAAAAGTGTAGGATACATTGAGGTATAATCCTAAGCCTAATTGCTTTTGAGTTTAAACTATATGATCAACAAATTTTATTATTTTGTGGTAGATGTGTAATTTTATTATTCTATTGAGGTAGTGAGAATTTATGGTGAACAAATTTGTCTATTTTACAAGCTCATTGTCCAATCTTACATTGCTTCAGTTGGATCGTTGAAATGGACATTGATTTCATGTGTTTTGCTGGTTTGATGTGCAAGTTATGCTGCCTTTGTTTGCTGGTCAAGTATCGCGGGTTTCTTTTCCCTTGCTGCTGGAATGAGTTTTCTGAGTTTGGGTTATCTTGTCTGGCCTTCTATACGCTAAAAAAATGCTCTCCTGAATTGCTTATGTTCTGGTTAGGTGATCAGCTATGTCCTGGATAGTGGGGTTTATTTTGCGTGCTGTGTTTGTTTTTCCTGTTCAGGAATCATCCTATGAGTTTTCTCTTTTTGTTCTTTTTCATCAGATTCAATTGTTTCAGCTTTTAGACAAGCTGTATTGTTGTAAGTATCACTTTAGTCCTTTTAATTTCATGATATTCAGTTTGTGTGTAGCATATTTTCTATATTTCCATTTTCATGGTATTTTACTTTTTTTATATTTTAGTGCTTGTCTTCTGCTGGGGTGAGTTGTAATAGTTACATAGGTTGTGTGATTATGTCTCCATTTCTTATTTTGTTATCTTTTTGCTTGAATGCAACATCTTTTCTATTGGGTTTATATTGTGGAATCCTCTTAGACGTTGAGTCGATTTAGGTAGGCGTTTTGGTCTTGGTTATTTGTAGATTATTGCTTGGCTTCTCTCTTGTCTTATGTGTGCTTGTTGGTGATTGTGATTGGTGTTTTAAGGTATGCATGTGGCTGGGTCCAACTTTCCTGTGGATTTTAAGTTGCCTTGGGTAGGGATGTTAATTTCGTTTATCTGTGGTTTACGGCTCGAGTGATCTGCTTTCTTTATACGTAGTTGTTGCTGTTAGGATGTGTGTTAGAGGCACGAACAATTTATTGTGTTGTTTATTCATCCGGACAGGTGATGGACAACCGCCCTCGGGATGTATCCATTTCCTATCAGTGTCTGCTGAATTAGGTTGTGGCATGTTTGGAATTGCCAACTCCTCTTTACACTCTGTATGTGAATGGTGAGAATGCTGTTGAGCTGCACCTTGATACGGGTGACGTGTTAGGGTCGTATGTGTACAATAGTGGTGCAGCTGATACCCTCAAAGCCTCAATTGAAAAGGCGTCTGAGCAGGCTCTGAGGGGGCTGAGGGCTGAATGTGGTGTCTAGATTGATGATTTTTCAAGTGAAAGGATTGACAGGCTAGAGCGTTGTCAATTCTTGTATGAGATGAAGCGTTTGGGGTTAGAATCTATTGAAAAGCCTAATGGGAAGACACATGTGAGGTGGCTTGCTGTCCCAGGACAAAAGCGTGCTGCTAAGTACGTTTGCATTGATTACTTAGATGTTCTGCGTCCTTTGGTTGCTGAAACTGGAGCTCGTGTCTCGTCGGTTGATGTTCTTGAGATAGCTGATAAGAAGTGGATTGCTTGGCTTTCAATATTCACTTCATTTACTTCTGCTGGGTTAGAGTGTGTATACAGTTCATTTTCTGGGAAATGCAAGACTGCTGCCCAGGATGCAGCGAAGAAAGGAGTTAACTTCTTATGTTCAAGCTACAATCTGAACATTATTGTTTTGAATCATTCAAATGTAGTTTATGCTCGGATTAAGTGTTCTCTTGCAAAGGAAAGTTTTATGACATTTAAGGAGCGTGTGCTAGGTGTTCAGCAGCCACTGCATTTGCCTCCTTTCTTTACTGCAGCCGAATGTAGCAGGCCAAAGTTTGCTGAGCAACAGTTAAAGTCCTCTAATTGTCCACCAGCTGCACCACGCAAGTGTAAAGCACGTTCCAGCACTGCCTCTCGGCCTGCTATTACCCCTGTTGCAGTTCCTGAAGACTTAGAATTGGTGTTTAAGCGCAGAAAGCTAGAGTAGATTTTAGGAGGACTTTGGGGGCTGTTTTGTGAAATTGCCATAGTTTACAGCCATAGCTAGAATTGTTTGTTTTAAAAGTTATGTGATATTTTCTGTATGTGGTTGTTAGCACTGTTTGTGTTTATTATTCTTAAATGGCTGTACTTTTTTGTAAATGTGAGGAACCAGTGGCTAATTTACGTAAACTTATGGTTTATGTGTTTTGATGATAATGATCCATTTCCTTCTTTATAATTCTAAGTTCTTGTCTAAAATTGTTTCTGTTATGAGTTTACTTATCATTGTTGCTCTGGTCTTTGTTTTTGTTTTGATGTTCATAGAATTTCTGCGGTTAGCGTTTTGCGACACTTATACTTGGCCACAGTTGTAGTGTTGCTGCTATGAGTAAGGATTGTTGCCTTCTTGTTTATCTAGATAGATGTTGTTGGATATTTGCTAAGTGTGGTTCTTTTTAATTTCATGTAATGTAGACCGCTGCCTCAATTATAAGACACCTGCACATGCTCGTGCTAGCAAGCGCACACGAGCTTTGGATGTGATGGTCTAGCCAGTATCAATACGGTAGACATTGTATATGTAGTGTTGTTGTGGGCAGATTCAGTGCACTGTGGTGTACAATGGTGTCTTGCCTGATATTGTTTTGCAATTGCAGTGAAGTTGGTGAAACAAGTGCTTTGGGTGCACAGCAGCAAGTAGCTAAAAAACCAAAGAAAAACCCAAGCTTAGTCCGAAGCCGAAGTCAAATCCTAAGCCGAAGCAAAAGCCAATAGCTAAGACATAGAGTGAGTGGCTTTTAATGCATGATGTTTCGTGTAGAAAAATGGGACCTTCGGCAAGGCTTTCTGAAATAAGCTGAAGATTGTATTTGGTCTAAGTATTTCTGGGCCGAGGGTTTCCTGCACAAAAAAATACAAAAATAGCCTCAAGCAATTAATACAAATAGCCTTAGGTAATCAATGCTCTTGCATAGCACTTATATTCTTTGCACTGTACTAACTTCGGAATCCAAAACGTAAACAAAGTCTCGGCCAACACCTAAGCCTAAGAGTAAACGGCTCTTAATTCACAATGCTTCGGCTATACTATTAGAACCTTCGGCACAGTCCCTTGAAGACTATTCGACACAATTGATGATGGGCCGAGGGTTTCCTGCACAGAAAATACACGTGCACTGGCTACGGGGATTGTGCTGAAGAATTCTCCTCCTATGCCGAAGTAGTACAGTGCACATAGGGAAAGTGCAATGTAAGAGCATTAATGCTTGACGCTATTTGTATTAATAGCTTAAGGCTATTTCTGTGTTTTCTGTGTCGAGGAAAACTTTTCCAATGCTGAACTTAGTCAGTTAACGTGTATTTGTTGTGTAGAAAACCCTCGGTCCAACATCATTTGGACCGAGTACCGTCTTCAGCTCACTTAAAAAAACTTGCCGAAGCTCTTATTGTTTTAGCTGAACCACATAATATTATGCTATTAGTCTGAGTCATAGACTGATTTCTTGTGTTGTCTTGCAATTAATACAAATATCCTTAGGCAATTAATGCTCTTGTATAGCACTTTCCTTCTTTGCAATGTATTGATTCGGCATCCGAAACTTAAACACATTCTCGGCTAACACCTAAGCCTAAGAGTGAACAGCTCTTAACTCATAATGTGTAGGGTAAAACATTAGGAATTCGACAAGATTCTTTGAAGTGGACTGAAGACTATACTCGGCCCAATTGATGCTGGGCTGAGAGTTTCCTGCACAGAAAATACACGTGCACTCCTCTGATGCTGAACTTATTCAGTTTACGTGTATTTTCTGTGTAGAAAATTGTCAGTCCAGCATCACTTGGACCGAATACGGTCTTCAGCCCACTTAAATAACCTTGCCGAAGGCCTCATTGTTTTAGCAGAAACACATAATATTATGCTATTGGCTTGACTCAGAGACTGATTTTGTGTTGTCTTGTAATCAACCCTGCTGCTATTATTAGTCAACCACTGTTAATTAGTGCTTTGCAATTAAAGTCCTTACCTTCTTGTTTGAAGTGTGGTTCTAAAATATTTAAACACAAGACATTGCACTTTTGTTGTGGAGATGGGGATATCAAAATTGCTTCGAATGAATACCCTCCTGAATTGGAACGATTATTTACTTCTGATGATGAAGATGCGGTGCATTTTAGGCAATATGCTCAGCTGTACAATAATTTGTTTGCTTTAAGTTTGTTTAGGGGCCAACATGATGCTACAACCGATAAGGGAATTTATGTATTCAAAATGCATGGTCAAATATACCATTTTGTACCTGATCTCTTACCAGATGAGAAAGGGCCTAAGTATTTACAGCTATATTTCTATGATGGCCAATGTGAGGTTGCAAATAGAACTAAGTGTTTTCTAGAAGTCAGAGATGATATTATTGAAATTATAATGCGGGTGACTAAAGACAATCCACATACTCGGTTCTTTCGGTCCTTAAAAGAGATCAGTGTAACTGAGGATACTCAAATAGTTATTAATCAACATACTGTTTTGGATCAGCGTGTGTTTAATGTACCAACAAGCGATGAAGTGGCTACTATATGGACTGATAGTACAGCTTCTAGCAAATCAGAAGGTCCATACATCTTTGTGTCGGGTAGATCTAATGACACTCATCGAATATATCATTATTATGGATTTTATGATCCATTGTAGTATCCTCTTTTGTTTCCCTATGGTGATTGTGGATGGGCACAGGGGATGTGCAAGAATTACAGAGACAATCAGCAGCATGGATCAAGAGTAGTAGACCCTGTGCATTCATATTCTGTTAATAGTGAAGAAGATTTGCTTGTTGAGGAGGCAATTCATGAGTTCCTATATTACTATGGTTAAAAATGCTTCCTTGTTATTGCTATTTGCGCCAAAAATGATGCAGAATTTATGTCTTTTTACTTGCTGACTACTGTGTTTATGTATAGGTGCTTCGGAAAACAGTGGAACTTCAGAAAGGCATATTTCCCCAAGGCAGTATTATGCATATAAACTTCAAAATCGTCCGAACAATATGCTCCTTCGTGCAGGTCGTTGTTTCCAGCAGTATATTGTAGATATGTACATCAAAATAGAAAACACACGTTTAGATTTTTGCAGGCAAAATCAGCAAACAATACATGCTGATCTCTACTAGGGAATTTTAGATTATGTAGAAGGGGGTGAAACAAGGGCTGTAAATATTGGCCATAGGGTTATTCTTCCTCCGACTTTTATTGGCGGGCCGTGATATGAAACGCCGATACTTAAATGCAATGTGTTTGGTTTAGCGATTTGGAAAGCCTGAATTATTTGTTACCATGACACGCAATACTAAATGGCCTGAGATAACATCTGAACTTGCTGATAGGGAGCTTGCACAGAATCGCCCTGACCTTGTGGCACGTGTTTTTAGGTCCAAGCTTATTAGCCTTAAACACCAAATTATGAAAAAAGGTGTTTGGTGAAGTTGAGGTGATGATCTATGTGATTGAATTTCAAAAAAGAGGCCTTCCTCATGCTCACTTTCTAATCATTCTTAAGGATGGATACAAGGTGAAATCGCCTTCAGATTTTGATAAGTTTGTGTGCTGAAATTCCCACTGAGTGTGACAACCTTCGGAAAATAGTATTGGCTCATATGATGCATGGCCCTTGTGGGCTGCGGAACCCTTCATGTGGGTGCATGAAGAAACAAGCAGATGGTTATGTTGCTTGTAAGTATAATTATCCGAGGGCATTCCTAAGTGAGACAACAAATAATGAAGATGGTTTCCCAATGTATAGGAGGAGAAATACTAGTGAAAGTGTGCTTATTCGAGGAGCTTACTTAGACAACCGGTGGGTTATTCCGTATAATCCTTATCTATCAGCACTTTTTTATTGTCATTTGAATGTTGAGATATGTTCAGCAATTCAGGCGGTGAAATACTTGTACAAGTATGTATACAAGGGTCACGATAGAGTATCTTTTAATGTGGCCGCCCAGCAGAATGCATCCTTGGATGAAATAAAAAACTTTCAGTCTGGTAGATGGGTCTCTCTATGTGAAGCAGCTTGGAGAATTTTCAGATTTGACTTATTTGAAATGCATCTGCCTGTTCAGTTGTTACCTGTACATTTGCCTAATATGCAAAATGTTGATTTGCATCCTAAGGAACGTTTAGACAAAGTGGTTCAGAACGATAGACGTTCACGCACAGCTCTAACAGAGTTTTTTAGGCTGAATGCAGCTACTGCTGGTGGTATAGGTCATCTTTATAGTGAGATAACTGAACACTATACGTGGGATAATGGGAAAAAGGCATGGTCTTAGAGAAGAAATAAGAAAATAGTTATTGGAAGGTTAGCCTTTGTCGTTCCAGGCGAGGGCGAAAGATTTTATTTACGTCTGCTACTTATTAATATTCGGAGTCCTACATCATTTGAAGATTTGTTAACGGTGAATGGACATGTATGTTCCACTTTCCAGGAAGCAGCTATTAAAAGAGGCCTTATGGAGGAAGATGGTGCAGTGGTGGCTTGTTTAGAGGAAGCATTAGAAGTGCAAATGCCTGGTCAATGAGGCAACTTTTTGCTACTGTCCTTATCTTCTGTCAGCCTAGCAATCATGATACTTTATGACTCCGCTTCTACAATTCACTTGCACAAGAATACAAGCATGCAAATCCAGGTGATGAAGAGAAAGCAAGGAGGCTAACTATAACATCAATTGAACAGTCATTAGAAGGCATGGGTAGATCATTAGGAGATTTTGTCTTAGGCCATTTCTGCTCATGCATAGAGTAGGAGAACTAAGGACATTGCTGATGCCTTACAAGCACCAATACCTGATGAATGCATTGCTTGCAGAAACTCCCTGAATCCAGCTTAGAAAATTGCATTTGATAGCATTATGGAACATGTAAACAACGAACGGTGTTGCTAGTTGTTTCTTTGTAGATGGTCTTGGTGGAACCGTAAAGACTTTTTTGTATAATGCTTTGTATGCTAAAATTCGGTTAGCTGAGAAGATTGTATTGCCTACAGCCACTTCGGGGATAGAAGCTTCAAACATACCATCTGGTAGGACATCACATTCCAGATTTAAAATTCCTCTTGATTCAGACATATCGCTTCCATGTGATGTCCCAAGATAGGGTAGCTTGGCCGCTTTAATAAGAGCAACTTCTTTGATAATATAGGATGAAGCATCTATGGCACGACAGGAAAATATGGAATCCCTTGATTTGCTTCTCCAGAATCTCTGTGACCCTGATCAAGTATTTGGAGGGAAGATGGTCGTATTTGAGGGAGATTTCAGGCAAGTCTTACCAATTGTTCCTCGTAAGTCTCAGAGAGAAGTGGTGGATGCAAGCTTAGTCAGCTCATACTTGTGGCCTAAGCTAATAAGATTTCGATTAACATAGAATATCAGAGCTAAACATGATCCTGCATATTCTGAATTCTTACTTGCACTTGGAAATGGACAGCTGCAGAATGCTGAAGTTGATTTTGTACAATTGCCACGACACATTATACGTTGCTGTGATCAAGAAATCGATCTTGTACCTGCTGTGGCATCTGCTACTTTTCCTAAAATTAGAAACATAAACATATGTCCAACCATCTTCACAGAAACAACAATTCTTACACATATGAATGAAGATGTAGATTCAATCAATACTTTTATGATTGACCAATTTCCAGGAGAGCATGCTACTTATAAAAGCTTCGACTCGCTTCTTTATGATAATTGTACAATATACCCCACTGAATTCCTCAACAAATTATGTCTAGGAGGTATGAGCCCGCATGAGCTCATCTTGAAGATAGATTGTCCTGTCATCTTACTGCGAAACATAGAACCGTCTGAAGGGTTGTGTAATGAAACAAGACTTATATGTAAGAGATTTTTACCAAATAATATTCTCTGCGAGATAGCAACAAGCACTTACAAGGGAAATATTGGTTTCTGCCGCGTGTTAATCTTCGCCCTTCATAATTTTCAGCAAATTACCCTTTTAAATTTGAGAGGAAGCAATTTCCAATTAAGCTCAGTTTTGCCATGACAATAAACAAGTCACAAGGTCAAACATTAAACAAAGTTGTCATATATCTTCCACAGCCTTGCTTCTCACATGGTCAGCTATATGTAGCACTTTCGCGTGCAAAGAAGTCTAAAAAAGTCATTGTCTTCAACCTAAAAGTATCTTCAGCATTGTCTACTTCACATGTGAAAAATGTTATTTCTTACGACGTCCTAAGATTAGCTTCAATTATTTATCCAGAATCAATTGTGGTATGTATGAACTTGTCACTTTTCAGTTTTCATTAGTTTTTGTATAGCCTGTTGCAGTTTCTCTTGACTTCATATGCTTTTGCTTTTATGTAATACAATATAGCATTGCTTTTATTTATATTTTTAGTATATCTTAAGACTTTACTAACATTTTCTTACCATTATCAACACTCAGTTTATTTTACGCTAAACTTTAACAAAGCTTCATGCATTACATATATGCTGAGTAAACAGTTGTTATATGATTTACTAAACTATAATAGGAACCGACATTAAAAAATAGCTTCTGACTAAAAGTTAGCTGTTATTAATACTAATAAGAAGACATAAAACAGTGATAAATCACACTTAGGGTGCATAATACAATACAGTTAATAAAACTTCAGCACTTAGGTATTACACACATAATATTAAACTCGACACATTCCTAGCATTATACTACTTCAGAGTACATTTAAAAAACTAACAACAATTACTTAGATCACCACTAGTGCAATACAAACTTAGCAGTTATTTAGATAGAATAAAGACTTTCTAGCTTAAAATGAACCTCCGTATAAACTTTACTAAGCTATATTTCTTTCTACTTATCCATTTAATAAAAGTTTTTTCATGATATTACAACTTTTGTATTGTTTAATTTCAAATAAATACAATAATATATAGTATTCTTGCATCATCATATGCCTAGATACCTGTTCAAGGCTTTCTCATTAGGAGAAAGTCTTGAATAGTCCCTGTAGGCGTCACTCGAAGTGCGCCTACGTAAAAAGCATGTGTGAATATGCTTGGTACTCATAGGAAGTGGGAATTGACATATACGATTAGGGACAAGGAAAGTAGGGAGCCGCCAACAAGTTTTTAAGGAACTTGTAAACCGTTCACGGATCATAAAAAGGCAACCACGAATAAGGGACAACAAAGGCAACAACGATTGACCCGTGAAGGTTACACCCCATTCATAATCTATGAGATTACTAACTCCATATGGTTCGGAACCACGAAAAGAGGATCGGGGATGATGGTACGAAGTGAGTCATGGAGTCACATTCGCCCGTATTGGCCTCTACACGATTCTTATAGTGAAAAGTGATTCATGCGATCTCAAAGGCATACAAACAAAGATTCAATTTGTTCCAAACTATTATTAAGCTAAATTGGTTAAATACTAATGCAACACATAATTCTAAAATATCGTGATCACTTGATTAAACAATAAGATTAAAAAGGAACCTAAACCGGTTGTCCAAATTATCTTATTAGGCGTTTTTTTCAATTACATATTCCCTTTAAACATGCAATATGGTGATCAAAATAATAATAGAATAACAACTGTATTGGAAGCAATTTAACAATAATAGAGTTAGTCAAATCAAATATAAAATAATCTAATCATGATACTAGCAATATAAAATAAAATAAGAGTAATTAATTTAATTAATTAATTACATTCAGCACGTTCCTTTAAATTGCTACGTCATGAATAAACTGTTAGTAGATTTAGTAAAAAAATAATAAAGTAAATGAAAATTAAATTAAATAAAAAGTAGAGTTGATTTGGTCCAAACCCTCAGTTATTTGTACCTTTCACGCCTTGGTTTAAGGACGGAACCTCGGGTTAAGTATAGACTCCTTGGAGTGCTTAGGGGAATTATTATGGAAGAATAAGGAGGCTAGAAATTAGGTTAAAGAAAGAGAAGAGAATGATTTTTGGTGTAAGGTGAGAGAGAATGATTATTGGTGCCCCGTACATCAGAAATGAGGGGGTATTTATAGAAAAAATGTGCTGAGGGAACACACGGAATCCTAAAATGATAAAAAAAAAACCCTAAAAAATTATACTGTGACACGGAAAAGTGTACCGTGACACGGGAAATCCCACCGTTAGACGGGAAACATTCCCGTGACACGGTGTACTTTTGTGTGATGCAGGAAATATATACTGAACGGGAAAGAAAACGCGTTAAGGGTTTATGCGAAAAGGACACGGAAACCCCCGTGTCACAGCACGTGTCCCGTGTCACGGGGATTCCCACCGTATGACGGGACAAGTTCCCGTGACACGGTGGACAGCTCCCGTGACGCGGGAGTCTGTGGTCCGTTTTTCCGTCTAAATTCATTTTTAACCCTAATTTCGTTCAGCATTTTAAGTGTCGATTCATAATTTCAGGCCATTTCTGATTTATTATTATTATTTGGGCTAAAAAAAGAAAATAAGTAAATAAAATAAATAAAAGGTTTGGGCCAAAATAAATAATAAAACAATAAACTAAAAAGGGTTTGGGCTAAAATTAAATAATAAGTTTGGGCTAAAATTAAAACTATGCTTTTACCAAACATCAAGACTAATACGAATTTAATCAAATACGACTTTTTAAGCACTCTCGGGATTAAATACTGTACCCGACCAATAGTGGCGGTGAAAGGTTGTTCATCATCGAGTTTGGTTTTGGGGAGACATTTTTAGGTGTCTACAGAAGCCCCCACTTTGACTGAGTTTGTAGAAACGTCAGTTTCAAAAACGATAGTCAAAGTAGTCGATAGGGATGGAGAATGATTTAAGACGTTCTGCGATCCTAAATCATTCTGTATACGCCGATACCTGCAGAAAAATGTTAATTCCACAGATAAAAGAGTAAAAGGATAGAATACGTAACTAGCACCAGTGTATCGGTGACAAATGAGTTTGGCAGCTTCCTATGCTTGAAGGAATCCATCGGATGACGTTTGTTGAAACGCTTTCCGTGCCTGAGGAAAGCCGACTTAGGAGTTTGGTAGTTTTCTAAGCCTGAAGAAACCTGCCGGATGATACTTTCCATGCCTGAGGAAAGTCGACATATGAATTTGGTGTCATTCTATGCTTGAAGAAATCCACCGATGATGCTTTCCATGCTTGAGGAAAGCCGACAAAGGAATTTGGCGGTTTTCTATGCTTGAAGAAAAATCCACCGATAACGCTTTCCATGCTTGAGGAAAGACGACAAAGGAATTTGGCGGTTTTCTATGCTTGAAGAAAAATCCACCGATAACGTTTTCCATGATTGAGGAAAGCCGATAAAGGAATTTGGCGGTTTTCTATGCTTGAAGAAAAAATCCACTAATAACGCTTTCCATGCTTGAGGAAAGTGGACAGATGATGAGATTTCAAGTCTTTGTGTATCGAGAACCTTGCGCCGAGAAATGATGGTGGTTCGATTGTCCCCGAACGTGGGCTGTAGTTGGTTCGCTTTTCCCCGAACGTGGGCTGTTAATGGTTTGCTTGTCCCCGAACGTGGGTTGTAGATGGTCCGCTTGTCCCCGGACGTGGGATGTAGATGGTCCGCTTGTCCCCGGACGTGGGCTGTAAATGGTCCGCTTGTCCCCGGACGTGGGCTGTAAGCGGTCCGCTTGTCCCCGAACGTGGGTTGTAGTTGGTTCGCTTGGCGCGAACGTGGGTTGTTATGGTCCGCTTGTCCCCGGACGTGGGCTGTAAATGGTCCGCTTATCCCCGGACGTGGGCTGTAGATGGTCCGCTTGTCCCCTGACGTGGGCTATAATTGAGACCTGCAAAATAAAATTTGCCAGGGGACTCGTATAGACTATGATTGACTTGACCAACTAACTTGACCAAGTTTGACTTGGCACGACATGACATGACATGAGTATGACTTGTGATTGTGTGTGTATAGTTTGAGTGTGTGTGCAGACATAAGCAAACGAAGATGAAAAAGCAAAAATTTTCCTTCAATTTTTGTCATGAGTGGAGGGTGCCGACTTTCTCCTGAAAAATAAAGACATGAAAAATTAAATTTTATTTTCTAACTTCCCTCGATAAAAAATTTGAAAAAGTTTTTGAACTTCCCTAAAATAAAATAATGAAAAAGGGAAGAAGTTTTGAACTTCCTCCTTGAGCAAGACGAAATGAATTGTATGGATTGAATTGCTTGTCCTGAAAATAATGTATGCATGATGCATGTTCTTAAGCCAGGAGGCGAAGGACAACTACATCATGTGACACGATAGATGAATGAACTTAAGTCATGGAGCGAAGCATCATATATTGTGTAAAGAAGCGATCTTGAACGTCACTTAGGTCTGGAAGCTAAGCACGTATATAGATGAAGTGATTATGAACGTTGCTTAGGTCAAGGAGCTAAGCACGATATGTTTTGTATGATTAAAAATCATTGATATATAAATTTTTCTCAGCACATTATGCGATGCATGAAACAATTAATATTGCTCAGGTCAGGAAGCTAAGCAAGTATACAATGTTTCTTCTAATGAATGTTGTCTTTAAATATGATGAAACATGCACAGTGTTGAAACAAGATTTCATGATAAAGGGATCTTAAGGGGAAGGATGATTGATATGGATATGGATGTGTGAGTGAAGTGTGTGAATGTGATACTAAGGCTGGCTGCAAGGGAAAAGAGATGTGAGAAGAGTCAAAGATGATGACTCTTTAGGCTAGGTAAGCTAATGTGATGTGGGTTCAAGCCCCCAAGTCTAGCTCTAAATGAGTAGGGATATAGAGATAAGCATTGGATATTCTTTGACTCGATCATGCATAGATATGAATGTGAATGTGGCCGCACCTCAATGTGAGGTTGCCTACGTATCCGTTAGGAATCAGGCCGAACGTAGCTCTAACCAAACTTTGCACAAGTGTATGTACACGTCAAAGAGGTCTTTCAAGGGTTGTAATGTGGTTAAGTTGATTTTTTAAGGAAGAAAGGGATAAAAGGCTCAAGACCCGAGAGAATCCCCAAGATGTGTAATTTTGAATTTGAAAATTTTGGATTTTGCAAGTTTATTTTCAAAAAAAAATTTCTTTTTTTTTTATTCTTTTGAATCAATGTAGGTAATCTCAGATCATGCGGTCCATCACTCACTTAGCATTCATGTTTCTCAGGCACGGTACCAAGCACTCGATGAGAGACGCAATTTGAGACATGTTCATATCAAAGACATTGGAACACTTGCCTTTAGACATTGTTTTATTGTTGCTTTGCTACTT